AAAAAAAAAAAAAAAAAAAAAAAAAAAAAAAAAAAAAAAGCCCACACACAACAAAACCTCAATTTGATCCAATGTCTAACACACCAGCGGCAACCAAGCCACTATGTTAAATTTCCTGTGTGAAACTTCTCTCGTGTAGTCTTTTACTGTATGGAGTCTCTCACGCACACGTGCACACATTCAGTCTTAGGTCTTTGTGGACTTTTAGGCATTAACAATTTAGGTGTAGAGGTGGTGCAAACTGTCTGTGAAAGGCACGTACAAACGCGTTCAGCTGGGGGGAAAACTCCCATACACAGTAGGTGGCATCTCATCGGGCGAACGCCGATGTGTGTGGTCAAGGCAGTGGCTAACGCCGGCCTGTGCTTCGGGGGAGCCTGCCCCGCTCCTCCGTGGGGTAGCACCGAGGCGTTCGAAGCGTGCGTTGAAGCAGGTGAGTGATGCGCAGCCGCCCCTGGAGCTGCGCTGTGCGGCAGGAGGGCTGTGGCGCTGGCCGCGGTGCTGAACTTGTTCTCCGGGCGGTCCCGAAGTTGGTGGGCCGGGAGGGGCCGCTCGGGTTTGGGAATTCGCTGGCAACCGGCAGCCTCACGTCCTCAGGTGTGGATTTCTGCCTCTGAGCAGGAGACGCACAGACTCCTGAGGGCCACCTGGCTAGTGTAGGGTTGGCCTTTGACCTATTCCCACCGGCAAGCTTCTACTCCTCAACAACGCGTCTCCTGTTTATTGAATGCCTCCGGTGGTCCCTGACACTTGACATTCACCCCCAGTGGTCCTCACAAAACACTGCAATTCAAAGAAAAAGAAGTCACGCCCAGGAGGTTGAAGACCTTGCCCAAGGGAACACGACTACCAAATGGCTGATCTCTCTCCATGATGCTCAAAAATGTTTCCTGCACACTATCCACGTGCCTGCCTCATAGCCTCTTCTTGCTGGCTCCACACACCTCCAACTCTGCCTTTTTCCTTTCTCCTGTTCCCTCCCTGATACCCTCGGCACCCCGCCACCAGGTTTGCATCAAGCAAAAGAAACTTCCCCTACAGCAGACCCTCTATCACCGCCAAGTGATACAAAAAACTGGGATTCAGGACAGGGTTTATTCACACATTTTGCCCCATGCGCTCAGAAGTCGAAACCGAGTGGGAGATCCAACACTGGTCCCCGAGACCCCAGCTTGCTGTGTGACCTTGGACAAGTAATCACATCGCTGAATCTGAGTTCTAGAACTGTGTGAGATTATTCTTCGGTGCTCATTGGTATGGATACAAACACAAGGTCCTTCTTTTTCTCCTCTCTCTATCCTTCTCAAGTTGGGTTGGGCAAGCTCGCTTTTTCTTCCCACCAGGGCCATAGCCAGCTCTAGCCCTTGTGGAGAAAGAAATCAGGTCCCAGCTGCTAAAGGTGTTCTCCCCACCCCCAACCCCCGGGTGCGACCTGTTCTTCCGGGGCACACTAGCCCAGCGTCGCCCAGGGCTCCGGAGAGAGCTCCTCAGGCTCCCGCTTCGCGGCGCCTGGTCCCTGCGGTCCTCACGCGCTGGGACGCTTTGGGAAGTGCGAGATGGAGCTGGGGCGAGAATGCGAATGCAAGGCAGGGCTGGTGACAGGTATGTGTGTGGGCGCCGGCCGGAGACTGTGTTGGGAGAGAGAAACTTTGGGGGAGACGGTGGGGGAAAGGGGAGGTGCCAGAGAAAGCGGTGGGTCACTCACCCGCTGACCATTAGTCTCTCTCCCTCTTCCACGTCCCGACCTCACCTCCTCCCTCGGCTTCTGCCTCTCACCTCCCTCTCTTTCTTCTCCAAGCATCCTGCCTCCGCGTCTGCACCCACTCCTCCCTCGCGCCCTCCCGCGCCTAAGGGGACCTCCTCGGGAGCCAGCTTGGTCCACTCTCCCAGCGCTGTCAGGTCCCAGAGACTGTTCGGCTGAGCCGGCAGCATGTGGAACGCGACGCCCAGCGAAGAGCCGGGGCTCAACCTCACGCTGGCGGACCTGGACTGGGATGCAGCCCCCGGCAACGACTCTCTGGGCTACGAGCTGCTGCCGCCCTTCACTGCGCCGCTGCTGGCGGGCGTCACAGCCACCTGCGTGGCGCTCTTCGTGGTGGGCATCGCTGGTAACCTGCTCACCATGCTGGTGGTGTCGCGCTTCCGCGAACTGCGCACCACCACCAACCTCTACCTGTCCAGCATGGCCTTCTCCGACCTGCTCATCTTCCTCTGCATGCCCCTGGACCTCGTTCGCCTCTGGCAGTACCGGCCCTGGAACTTCGGCGACCTGCTCTGCAAACTCTTCCAATTCGTCAGCGAGAGCTGCACCTACGCCACGGTGCTCACCATCACAGCGCTGAGCGTCGAGCGCTACTTCGCCATCTGCTTCCCGCTGCGGGCCAAGGTGGTGGTCACCAAGGGCCGGGTGAAGCTGGTCATCCTCGTCATCTGGGCCGTGGCCTTCTGCAGCGCTGGGCCCATCTTCGTGCTAGTCGGGGTGGAGCATGAGAACGGGACAGACCCTTGGGACACCAACGAGTGCCGCCCCACCGAGTTCGCGGTGCGCTCTGGACTGCTCACGGTCATGGTGTGGGTGTCCAGCGTCTTCTTCTTCCTTCCTGTCTTCTGTCTCACGGTCCTCTACAGTCTCATCGGCAGGAAGCTGTGGCGGAGGAAGCGCGGCGATGCTGCCGTGGGCGCCTCGCTCAAGGACCAGAACCACAAGCAAACCGTGAAAATGCTGGGTGGGTCTCAGAGCGCGCTCGAGCTTTCTCTCGCGGGTCCCCTCGTCTCCCTGTGCCTTCTCCCTTCTCTCTGAGTCTCCATCTCTATTTCCCCCTGAGCCTCTACCTCTTTTTTCTCTTTCTCTGGGCCTCTGTCTCTCAATTATTCTCTCCCCTTGCTTTCTTGAGTGATGTCTTTGGTCTCTCGATCTCTGTGTCTCTGTCACTCTCTCCTCCCCCTTTGTCCATGTCTTGACTCTTTCTTACCGTCTCTACCTCTTTGTGTCTCTTTCTTCCTGTCTCCCCTTTCTCTCTTTCATGCAAAAATGTCCCACATTTGTATTTCCCTAAAATGAATTTTATATCAGCCTAGGAACTCCACTTTAAAATTGAGATATCTCATAAAAGTCTATTGTGGTCTTAAGCGTTAAAAGTGAGGACTGACTTCCTGCCTCAAATAGGATTTGTGAACATCTAGGTTACATTAAGAAAAGCAGGGCTTGGATCTAGAAAGTATTCAGTGGTAAATTCAACCAAAGACATGATCAATTTGGATACACCTATTAGAGATTATTCATTTTTCTTTCAATATTGTGATTTGTTTTCTGCTCTGCATTTTTTCAGATAATTGCATCAATTCTGTTTACCTTCTGCTGTTTATACAGCTTTGTAAGGAAGTCAGTGACAAATCAGTAGTCTCATTTGTTTTCATGATTACCTGCCTCTTCGGGTAGGATACAGTAGGGTAAGGTAAAGATAAGCTAGAATAAACAAAGCTCCAACAGGAGAAAAAGAGACTTTGTGGAAACCAACAGAATTTACTGCTTCCCCAAATGACCCTTCAGGAACATCTGGGTACAATGTCATAACTGGATTTGCAGAATGTTTATTGCACAAATTCAGTGACTTTAAGTATATGTGTTTGGTACAAGTGAGTAATAAAAAATGTGTTTATATCCCAGCAAAATATTAATTCTACTTGCATTTTCAAAACCAAGGTCTGTATATTTTATTATTTAGATATTATAGTCAAGACTTCATGCTTGCTGACATATTTTAAAGCTTCTTAGAAGTCATTCCAGGATGATTTCATATTTCCAATTTTACAATTCCTGGATCTTGCATATTAAAGTGATAGAGTTTATTAAAGGAATGTCAAAGATTTTATTTTCTGGACCAGTGACTCTCATGGTTAGAACTCATAGATTCTAAGCCCACTGGTGTTAGAGGACTCTCAGCTCTCACCTATGAGATTCAGATTGTTCCTGTGGCAGTTAAGTTGCTAGTATAAATTTAGGTTTAAGGACGAGTTTAATACTTTCCTCCAATTTTATTTTCAAGCCATTAATTTCCTCATTGGTGTCTCAACACCAATGTTAACTTTCTTCTTCCTGGACAATTTGAAGGGGATCACTAAAATGTTACAAAGACTGAAAAATTATTTGCTATTATTTTTCCCTGATTTCTGAATTTCAAACAACCTAAAAACTTAGACATCGTTAATTATCTTTCACAGGCAAAATGAAGACTTGGATGGATGATAATTTATATGAGTTGGTTTAATAACAGCCTTACTTATATCTACTGTAGGTGGCATAGAATCACCCATCTCAGTGATTCTTAATCCTGAATGTATGTTCAATCCTCTGTGAAACTTTAGAAAAAAAGAAAAGGAAAAGCGTGTCCCCTGATCTCCGTCTTAGAGATTTAAATTGACCGAGTCTATACTACATCCAAGGAATCTGCATTGTTTACAAAAGTGCCCCAGGAGACTCAGATACACAGCTGTGGTTGGGTACAACAATTTTATATGTGTGTCTAACACATAACAACTGCTGGACTATTGTGAATAAATGGTCTAGTCAGTTGAGTCAATATGTCAACTCAACACAAAATCACTCAGGTAGTTGTTAAATAGAAATGACTGGGAAGCTTGGTAAAAATTGTTGAACTGTTGTTGGTCTAGACAGACTGAATCTTTGTTAAAATGTAGGAATGAGGAAAAGGAGACCACAATGTTTCTCTGAAGTCAATGGTCATAGTCCATGAAACAAAACCAAGTCTTAAAAATAGAATGTGATTCGCTATGACATTTCTTGAGCTGATTATCTCTCTCCCATTGTCCTTCTAGCTGTAGTGGTGTTTGCTTTCATCCTCTGCTGGCTGCCCTTCCACGTAGGGCGATATTTATTTTCCAAATCCTTTGAGCCTGGCTCCTTGGAGATTGCTCAGATCAGCCAGTATTGCAACCTCGTGTCCTTTGTCCTCTTCTACCTCAGCGCTGCCATCAACCCTATTCTGTACAACATCATGTCCAAGAAGTACCGGGTGGCGGTGTTCAGACTTCTGGGATTCGAACCCTTCTCCCAGAGAAAGCTCTCCACTCTGAAGGATGAAAGTTCTCGGGCCTGGACAGAATCTAGTATTAATACATGACCTAGCACATTGCTGATTACAGTCACTGCTTATTCTAAACCGGAAGCCATAGCAGAGCAGAATTTGGGAGGAAGCTGAAGGTTAATTTTGGAATTAGGAACATGTAGATCCTGAAACAACTGGGAGGGAAAAAAGACATCATTTGTAGGGTGTGAGCAGTTTGATTTGATTGCACACTTATTAGTGCTCTCATACACTATTTCTGCATATTCACTGCCTATGATTTTTCATTCTGCTGTGGGTGCTGGTGAGGGCTTTGCAATTCAGAGAAAGGAGGAAGTGCAGAGTGAGCAATTAGGGCACTTCATGGTGGGTAAAGACAAATTTGCTTTGCTTTTTCATAATGATCAAAATTATTTGGTTAAAAGAATCACATTACAATAAAAATTTTAAAGTATAACTTTTAAAAACCAGCGATTTTCATAAAGCTCTAGAGCAGTGCTATCCAAGAGAAATATAACATAAGGCACATGAAAAAGTTATTAAAAATAAATTTACATTCTTTTTTTCACACTAACTCTTTGAAATCTGGCATGCTTTTTACATTTACAGAATCCCTCAATTTGGACACTGTTTTCATTAGTAATATTTGATGTATTTAGAGTTCATAAAATTTACAAGTAAAACGTAGATTCAACAATCTAAGTTGTCTAAACACACTTAAAAGTTTTCCAATAACGAAACAACTGTAAATTTTTAAACTTAAAATTAATTAAAGTTAAAAATTGAGTTCTGGCTGGGTGCAGTGGCTCACGCCTGTAATCCCAGCACTTTGGGAGATCGAGGCGGGTGGATCACGAGGTCAAGAGATCGAGACCATCCTGGTCAACATGGTGAAACCCCGTCTCTACTAAAAATACAAAAAAAATTAGCTGGGCATGGTGGCACGTGCCTGTAGTCCCAGCTACTCAGGGGGCTGAGGCAGGAGAATTGCCTGAACCCGGGAGGTGGAGGTTGCGGTGAGCCAGGATCGCGCCACTGCACTCCAGCCTGGGTAACAAGAGCGAAACTCCGTCTCAAAAAGAAAAAAAAAAAGAAAAAGAAAAGAAAAATTCAGTTATTCAGTTGCACTAGTTACATTGCGAGTAACCAACAGCTCGAGGTTACCACCCAGAACAGTGTGGCTCTAGAGTATATACAAAATTATCATTCACCTTATAGAAAATGTTTAAAAATAAATATCCTTTTCCTAAAATGTTTTTATAGTGATGTTCACACAGCAGACTTTCAGAGTGATGAATACTAAAAAATCATACCTAAATGTCCGGTTCTGTGTGCTCAGAAGAGAATGGATATGAAATGTGTAACATACATTTTTAAATTGAGTTGCATGTGTTAATATTCAGGAAATGGAACTTCATAAAAATTGTAGGTAATCACAAACTGCCTTATATGGCTTAACCAAAGTTTTAAAGCCAATCATAAGGCTTTGATTTGTGAATAAGGGAATAATTTGTAACGTACTCTGGCAAGCTTACAAGAAAGTTAATGAATATAGAAATTTTTCAAGTGATGAAGTCAGGCCCATGTGAAAAACTCAGAATCCTCTAAATGCTACTGCTTATTGATATTAAAAACTTTCGAAGATCTTATAGCCATTTATTTTAAAATACCTATGTTGTGTTCTGTCTCCAAATTGGTTTTGCTGCTCATATCCCATTGCTTATCTGAGAGATATGATCACCTGGATTTCCAGACCCTCTCTTAATTGTAACTATGAATGAGTATGTATCTTCAACTAAATATTGTATATTTGGTTATAAGTATATAATTTTCATGTATGTTGGCATTGCTTCCTATTTAGTCAACCCTTTGCATACTAAAGGTATTAACCCAAAAGTAACTTTTTCATAATCCTGTGAAATGCTGAGTCATATAAGCAGCTCCTTCATAGTTCACAACTGTGGAATGGATGGAACCATTTAGGGAAATTCCTGCCATGACTGTTTTTTCCTTCATCAAAAAGAAAGATGATCGTGATAAAACAATTGATTGACTATTTAGTTTGGAATTATCCAAACACAATCATAATTAGAATTATTTCTCTAGAAAAATATTTCTGAGATCCATTCTGACACTAAAACTGCACCATCAATGTGGTCTAAATACAGAACGTTAGCAAGCTAATTATTTAGTTAATTCTTAAGAGTGCATCAATATTAAAAAACAAAACAAACAAACAAAAAACACTGACTTATTTAAGTCCATGGGATTCTAATTAGGGCATTGAACATTATTGTCTTGGAGAGGGCCCAATAAATCCTAAAGAGGAAGTTCAGCTTCCTGAAGCCTTAGAAAATTTTTGTCTACAAATACATCCTACTTGAGAAGAAACAAACAAGAAAACCTTGACCTCCATCACACAGTTGATTTCTTTGGAGAAAAAAATCCCAACTTTTAATTCATTGCTCAGCCTCCTCTCTTGTGGGTTCATGTCTAGTCTTGGCCTAACTCACTTCCAGGGAGTAGTTAACGTAGTAGGGACCACCACTGTCCTTCACTGGTATTAATCTGGACAGAGAAGATATTGGAGAAAGAGATCTTTAATTTGTCTTCTTATATCATTGCCTTTTTATTGTTTGTAGCTTCTTTATTTTATCATACTCCTTAAATCATTTAAAACTCAGGGAAAGGAGGAACTTACACTGAGGAATATTGTTTGTAAAAGTCCATCATTTCCTAAGCATTTGGTATGTGCCTGATACGTTCTAAACTCTAACAATCAATAAGCCAAGGATTTCATCCTTAAGAAGCTCACAATCATGTGTGTGTTATGTTGCAGTAGGCAACTGATAAATTCTTTAAATTGTGAAGTAAACAGTTTGACACTGGATCAAAGGGCTGGCTGTTCATCTCATTGTGTTGCTGTGTATTTGGCTCAAAATAAATTCAAGATGGGCTGTTCCTCCATCAACTGCTCAATTTTGTAGACACAGTTAATGTGTCTGCTAGCGGTAATTACACTCAACACATTCCTCATTTATGTAGGGAAAGTAAAGTGATCTTTTTTTTACTCTGCGTTTCCATTTTCCTGGTTATCTTGCAATGAGGTGTTTTGTTCCCACACCTTACACTGTGGCACAAAATCAAGTGTTGGATAATTTTCATTACAGGGAGTAACTGTTATATAAGTAAGAGCTTTTTTTCTTTTTTTTTTTTTGAGACAAAATTTCTCACTGTTGCCCAGGCTGGAGTGCAGTGGCATGATCTTGGCTTGCTGCAGCCTCCGCCTCCCGGGTTTATGAAATTCTCCTGCCTCAGCCTCCCTAGTAGCTGGGATTACAGGAGCCTACCACCACACCTGGCAAATTTTTTATATTTTTAGT